AAAGTTACATTTCATCACAGCATTTCTGGACTGCTGCTGTGGAGGTACATTCCCTAATTTATGTGACTCACAAGCTTTTTCTCTGTGTGAACAAACCCTCAGCAGGGAGAGGAAGCCACAGTGTGGTATTCCTGAATCTCTGATACTCCCACCACTCCTTCCTGTAGCCTTGTCACCCCCCACCTGGCCTCGAACAGGATCCCAGCACACGGAATCTCTCTGGCCTCGTTTATTAAATTAGTAGAGACGTTTTCAAAGAACTTTACCAGGTCCTGCGCCTTCAGGACAGTGATCTGTACTGCTGCTGGCTGTGACGTGCTGGGAAGAGCTGCAGCAGAGGACACGCTCCCACCAGCCAGCCCTGCAGGGACCTCCATGGCTCTGCAGGAGAAAGAATGAGGCAAGAAACATGAAACTGCTCCATTCCTCTCCCAGAAACCTCTGCAGGACACAGCAGTGGTGGCTGTGAGCGCTATTCAGGGCTCGGCTGTCAAAACACCACTGAAAGCCGAGGGCATTGGCAGTGACGAATCATGAGGCGCAGGGGGAGGACAGAGAGAAATGTAATGTGAAAATTATCTGGCTCTGTAAACTTCACCCGGCTGCAGCTCTCAGGAAGGACTCGCTGTGCCAGGCTGCTCTCAGCTCCGAGCGCCAGGTACAGCCCTGGGCGCTCTTTTACTCCGTGTTTAAATTAATCATGACCTCCTGCCTGGTCCAAAGGCCTCTGGCTGCCACCCCGTCCCCTCACGGCTCCAACATGCCCAGAGGACCTGGCTCCATCTGCTCCTCGGGTTTGGGAATCCCTCCAGAGGCTCAGAGCACCCTGGGGACCCCACGGCCCCGCTGCCTCACCCCCCCAGCTCCCGCAGCCAGGGCAGGGGCGCTGGTGTCTGCCCGCGCCTGGCAGGGCAGCCCCTCAGCGCAGCCCCAACGGCCCGGGGGCTGTCCCGCCATGGTGCAGCCCCTGACCAAGGGTCCTGGGGAACTCCTGCAGCCCCTCACCCACGGGTCTGGGGGCTCCCCCACCTTAGGGTGCACCTGCCCGCAGCCCCTCACCAACGGTCCTGGGGGTCCTCCCGCCCGGGCGGTCCTGCAGCCCCACACCGGCGGAGCGGGGCTCGAACCCGTGGACTCCCCGACTCGGCGCAGGGCTCGCGTCCCGTAACCACAGCGACACAGCTGCTCCCACAGGACCCGAAACCTCGCGAGACCGCGGCTCTTCACACGGGATCGGGGGGCGCGTCCGTGAAGCCGCTGCCGCCGCCATGATGGGTGTGGGCTGCCCTTACCTGCCCCCCCCCCCGTGGGCGGGGTCCCCCCGAGCCCACCCGTGTGTCCTGGGGGTGCTGCAGGGGCACCATGACCCTCCCTGCAGCCTTGTGTGCCCCTGGGCAGTCCAGCTGCTGCTCCAGCCCCACTGTGGCCCCCCAACCCTCCTGGCAGAGTCTGTGGTGCCCACCCAGCCACTCCCTCACACCCCACTGGGGGCCCTGAGGGGGTTAGAGGGGGGTTCCCGCAGGCCAGGCTGGGCTGGGGACCCCACAGCCCCATGGTGACAGGGGGTCCCAGGGGCTTGGGCTGCCCCCCGAGATCCCCCCAGTTGTGCAGTGTGGCACATTAGGGGGTTTTGGGGGAACCCCACTGCCACCACCGCGGCTTTGGGGGCGGGAGCCGGACCCCCGGAGCGGGTTGGCCCGTTCCCGGGAAGGGGATGCCCAGAATAGCTCCGCTATCCGATTCCTGCTGGAGGGGCCTCGTTCCCCCTAGGGGCTGACATTTGAGCCCAGCAGCGGCACAGACTGTCTGGACTTCCCGGAATCTCCCGGCACCGCCGTGGCCCCTCGGGACGAGCAGGGGATGGCGGGCGGGAGGCGCCGTGGGCGGCGGGGGGGACCCCAGCAGCACACGGGGACCCCCCAGCCAGCCCCGCCGCCCGCACCCCGCTGCCCTGCAGCCCCCACGGCCCAGCCAGCAGGCGCTGCCCCCAAAGCCGGCCGCCCCAAGAAGGTCGTGGAGGAGCGGGCGGCGAGGGCTCCGGACGTGGACTCGCTGGGCTTCCAGGCCATGGACCGCAACGTGCCGGGGCTGTCCCACGTCATCCTGAAGAAGCTCAACATGGAGAGCTACGAGGACTACAAGTGAGTGAGCACTCATAGGTGCATGTTCCCTACCCCACTCCGCCAGGCCATCCCATGTGTCCCCCCACAGCTGGCGTGTCTCTCCTGGCTCATCCCACCCTCCTGGCCCAGCCCATATGTGGGCTCTGATGGGCTCCTGGGTGCACCCCTCCAGGGATCCCAGCTCCCCATCCCCACCCAGGCCAGGATGCTCCTGGCTGGAGATAAAAATCCTGGCGGGCTCGGAGGCAGGACATCAGCCCCACTGTGGTTGCAGTGGGCTGGATCCTGCTCACCCCCCAACGTGTGCAGGTCTGCCATGGACGGGAGGAAGAGCGGCAGCGATTTCGGCATCCGGACTTACTTTGACATGTTCCAGAAGATGGAGGACACCTTCAAGTTTTGTGCTGAATGCAAGAAGCTCCCTGATGCCCTCCCTGACCCCAAAAGCCTCCGGCGTTGCAAGAGGTATGGAAGGGATGGTCTGATGGCACAGGGATGGATCCATCCCTCGCTTCCAGCCCAGTGGCTGGAGTGCAGTGAGGGGTGTCTGGCCCCAGTGCCCACCTTCAACCTGAGGGCACCCCCAAAACAAAGCCTTGGGAGGGGGTGAGCCAGGCTCAGCAGGACAGATCCTGCCCCCTTCCCCATGGCTGGCTTGCTGCCTGTCTGCCCAGGTGCCAAAACGTGTACTACTGTGGCGTGGCATGCCAGCGTGCCAACTGGCCACTGCACAAGAAGTTCTGCAAGAAGCTGAAGCTGGTGGCCCTGGATCGGTTGGTGGAGTGGCTCGTCTTCACAGGTTGGACACATCCTCCCCCAGCCTACCTGACCCCCATCCCGGGCTGCACAGGTCCCATGGTGGGATGCAGGGTCCCTCCCCCAGCCCTTCTCCTCTAGCACTCCTACAGCACAGGAGGGATGGGCAGCCTGAGCTGTGGGGCCACCACTGCGCCCTCCAGCCTTCTCCCTACCTCCAGGAGACATCCCCTTCCCCACGGAGACCTGGACAAAACCCGCCCGGGATGTGAAGGGTTGGGAGGACTGGTTCTCCATGCAGGAGCAGCTAGAGGAGAAGCTGGGTGCCATCGTGGCCGGGCGGTACATGACCCTGCTCTGGGCTAACGCTGGGAAGCCCCGGCCGGAGGACGGGGAGCTGCGCCAGTCCATCCGGCGCCTGGTCACCGACTTCCACTCGCGGCCGCTCACCATCGGCCTGGGGCTGCGGCTTTTTGGCATCGACCCCCTTGCCAGGCCCCTCACCGTGCACGTGGTGGGGGCCTCCCACGTGGAGACCCTCAATACCCGGCTGACGGACTACGACGAGCTGACGCGGATGTTTCCGGGGCACCAGGGCGTGGAGATGGTGATGGTGGGTGTGGACGTGGTGGACGGACCCATCATGAGGCCACCCCTGGCCACGCCAGCGCCCCGGGGAAGGGTCTATCTCAGCAGCTACAAGGGGCTCTACCACGACTTCTGGGAAAGCCACGTGGAGACCAAGCTGGCTGCCCGTCCTGACCTGGTGGTGGGATTTCACCCAGGTGAGTGCCTGTGCTGTGAAGAGGCTGGACCCTCACACCTGGGAGTGGGACATCCCCGCAGGGCACAGGGTAGGGACTCAGGAACCACCCTGAGCACCCTGAAGCATCTGGGGCTGAGCCTGCAGGAGGCATGGGACATGCCCAGGGCTTTGCACCAAGGTACAGTGGGTAGCTGGGGTGATTCCCTGGGATGTGGCTGCCTCGTCCCCCACCAGGCACTCATTGTCCTGCCTGTGTCACCCACCTGCTGGTCAGAGGGGTCTCTGCTTCAGGGCTTGATGCAGTGCTCAGCACAGGACCCAGAGTTTGGAGTGCCCCCTGTGCTGGTGGGGAGCCAGACCTCACCTTGCTGAGGGCTTCCAAACATTGTCACCAGTACCACCGTGTGCCCTGGGGTCCCCAGCATGGAGTGAGTGCAGTTGGAGCTGGCTTTCCCCAGCTCCACACGTCTCTCTGTGTCCCCATGTTCCCAGATGTCTCCCATGTCCCCAGTGTCCTACCATGTTCCCCACCTGGTAGATGGACTCGAGGATCTCCATGTACCTCTCTTCCACCTGCCTCAGCTCCTGGATGCAGCGCAGCCTCTGGTCCACCTCTGTCCTCTGTGGGGACAGGGGGACACAGCTGTGGGGCTTGGGTGGGATGGGAGGGGAGTGGAACCCTCACTGCTGTGACCCCACAGGTTTCCATGCCTGCCCAGACCTGCTGGCAGGGTGGCTGCCCACCCTGCTGCTGCTGCGGGACTACGGCCTGCCCGTGCTCTTCACTGTGTACAGGTGAGTGCAGCCCCACGGCCCCTGAACTGGCACAGCTGCCCAGTGACCAGCCTGTCCTCCACTCTCCCACAGTGAGCAGGAGCTGAAGGCCTCCCTGCAGATCCTCGTGGAGCTCGAGACACACATCGTGGGCTACGCCAGCAACCCCTTTGCCTCCCTGCGGCCCGAGCAGGTCTACTCCAGCCCCAACAAGGCGCCTGTCTACTGCAGCTCCCACTACATCGCCCTGCTGGGGGCAGAGCCGTCTGCTGTGCCGGGGGCCGAGGGGCTGGAGGATGATGATGATGATGGCTGGGAGGGAGGGGAACCCAGTGCTGCTGCTGTGGGTGGGGGCATCACCCCAGGGCTGGGCTGATCCCACGTGGTCAGCGCTGTCCTGCCTGCCCTGCCCACCTGCCCCCCAGCCCTCGCTGCCCCATCCCAGGACCTCATCTTCCCATCCCAGGATCAGTGATCCAGCCATCCCTTGCTGCACACATCCAGTCCTGGGGCAACGCAGCACCCTGGCACAGGCATGGCCCCCCTCCACAGCGCCAAATAAACCCCTGCCAGCAACTGGCCGCCGTGTCTCAAGCTTTATTTCCAAAAAGGCTGTTGTTTTCCCAAACAAAACGAGGGGCTGAGCCCACCCCAGCCACCCCCTGGGCAGCCACAGCCTCTGGAGAGACAGTGAAGGGGACCCCGACTGCGGGACCAGCCGTGCACAGGGCTGTGCAGCCCCCAGGGTCCCGCAGGGAGCCCCAGCCCAGCGCCCAACTGTCACTGTCACCTGCACTGTGCTCTTGCATTGGTGCCTACCCTGCAGGGCACTGCTCCAGCCTGGCACTTCCTACCAGCCTGGCCACGGCCAGTGGGCACCAGCTGGCACCTCCCCACTGCACTCCAGCCTTGATGGCCCCTGCAGACACCAGGGCGGGTGGGGCTGAAGGAACTGGCTCCTGCAGCATCGCCCAACGCTGCCAGGGACCCACACGGGCCTGGTGTCCTCTCCTGGTGCAGCCAGCGGGTGTGGCACTGACCCGCCTGGGCACCCGCAATGGCTCAGGGAGGCCAGCACCCCCCCGGGGCTCCCAGCGCCCCGACGGCAGGTCCCTCCCTGGGGTCAGTGCCTGTCGGAGGGGCCGTGGTGGGCGGCGGAGCTGGCACAGTCCAGCACGGTGTGGCACTGCCAGCATCACTCGGCGCCAGTGCGCTCCCGCAGCGCGGGCAGCGTCAGGGTCTCCGGCGCTGACTTCTTCCGTGGGCGAGTCTTGGGGGGAGCGAGGAACTCGGGGGCCTCGTCGCTGAGGGGGGTGGAGGGGGCGCTGGCAGGGGCCGAGTGCGTGGCCGTCGGCTGCCCCACCTCGCTGACCGAGATGGCAGGTGCCACCAGGCCGATGAGCTCGTTGGTGGCCTCCTGTGTCTCCTGCTCGTAGCGCCGCACATCCTCCATCGTCATCCCTGCTGAGCACAGCCGGGCTTGGGGCCGCTCGGCACGGCCACGTCCTGCACCCCCTCATCCCGGGGCAGCCCCGCACCCCGGCTCCCCACCGAGCTGGGGGACGGCAAGGGGACAGGGGCTGGGGACAAGGGAACAGGCAGGGAAGGGGAAGCTGGACAGCGCAGCCAGCCGCCCGCTCCGGCACCAGCCCAGCCAGCAGCGGGGAAGGGATGGACAGGCAGCGCAGGCAGGGGACACGTGGGGAGGGCAGCCGGGAGGGGGGACCCTCTGCCGCGGGGTGCAGGGGGGGCACAAGCCCCCCCGCCTGCACCTGCCCGCAGGCAGCGTGGCGGGGTCTGGAGTGTCCGGCCTCGGCAGGCAGCGGGAGTTAGGGGTGCTGGCTCCCCAGCTTTTGGTTTGTGGCCACTTGCATCTGAGTCTCGAAGGCCCGGACCTCTTCCAGGGACATGTCTGGAAGGCAGAGAGCCGCTCACTGGGACGGCCCCGCTTCCCGCCGGCACCCGCCACCGGCTGTCACCAAACCCGGGGCTCCCATCCCCGTGTCCGCACTTGGCAGCGCCTGCAGTGTGTCCCTGCCGGACAGGGAGGGGTGCAGGCAGTGCAGGCAGCACGCTGGGACCCCTCTCCCCGTCCGCCCCAGGTGTGCAGCAGAGCAGGCAGCGTGCAGGGCGCAGGCAGGGGTGAGGGCAAGGGGAGTGGAGCAGAGCAGGCAGAGCAGGCAGTGCAGGCAGCAGGGGAGCTGGAGGAAGAGTGGGAGCTGCCAATGGGGTTAGTGGCATCAGCGGTTAGACCTGCAGCCCCCTCCCAGCACGGGGACCGTGTGCCCCCCTCCCCATCAGCACCAGGGTGACCCCACAGACTCACCGCACCACTCGTCCACCCAGGCGAACGCCTGCCGGTGCCCAATCAGCAGGATGTCCCGGATCACCTGCACCACACCGGGGGGGTCAGCACCCTGTCACTGTCCCCACAACATCCCCCCAGCCCAGCTTGGATGCCCCTCACCTTGTGCACAAACTGCTCCACCCGTGTCTGCAGCCCCCACACCTCGAACTTGACGCTCACCAGTTTGTAGGAGCACATGATGGGCTTGGTGTGCTGGCGCCAGCCCTCCCGCAGCGGCCCCCGGCCTGTCTTGGCTGAGCTGAAGAATCGGGGGTCCTGGGGGGATCGGGCAGAGCAGGGCCATGAGCCCCCCCAGGACAGAGGGGTGGCCCCAGGGAGCCGCCTTGTCCCTGACTGTGGTACCTCCAGGCTGCGGTAGTAGCGCTCAGGGATCTCGTCAAAGGCAATGTCCAGGAAAGAGACCTCGTGGTCACCCAGGATTTTGTCACTGTGGAAGATCTGGGAAGGGAAGGGAAGGTGAGTGACATGGACCACGTGGCCCCTGTGATGAGTTTGCCAGGTCTCAGCTGTGGCGCACACTCACGTTCTCACTGTCCCCGCAGTTGTCCTCGTACTTGGTCTCGATGTAGATGGAGAATTTGGGCAGGAAGGAGCACTGCAGGGAGTGGCTGTCAGCTGGTCCCCCAGGGATGCCTGTTCTGAAGGACACCCACTCCCAGGGACACCTACCCAAGGGATGCCCATCCCCAAGGACACCTATCCTGAGGGACACCCATCCAAAGGACACCCTGCCCCAAGGGAGATCCAGATTGAGGGACACCCAGCCCAAGGGACACCTCCCTCCAAGGATGACCATCCTCAAGGGATGCCCATCCCCAAGGACATGCACCCCAGGAACACCCACTCCTAAGTGACACCCACCCCAAGGGATCTCCAGACCCAGGGACACCCATCCCCAAAGACACTCACTGCAAGGGACACCCACCTCAGGGACACCTGACCCCAAGGGACTCCCACCCCCAAGGACACCCATCCTCAAGGGACGACCTGCCCCAAGGGGGATGCCCACCCCAGTGCCCCATCCCCAGCCATGGCAGGTGCTGGGGAAGGGGTCAGGTCCCCCCGTGCCACCTCCTTACCGTGTACTCTGCAGGGACACCGTGGCACATCAGCATTGTGGGGTGGCATGACCGGGTGGCATCATGGGGGAGAGGGGGAGCAGTGAGACCAGGGGCAGAGGTCTTAGCCAGGCTCCTGGCAGCCCATGGCCCCTGCCAGGGAGGGACAGGGGTCCCGGCGGTGCCCACCCCCGTGCCCTTCCCGGGGCTCACCGGTGATGGTGTAGGGGTAGTAGTTCCAGGCCTTCTCAGTGATGTAGAAGATTCGGGGGGTCACTGCCCGTGCCCAGCTCGGCAGTTTGCTGCAGGGGACCGTGGGGACAGGACCCCCTCAGGGCAGGACATGGCTGGTGCCACCCAGCCCTGCACCACCGAACACAGCCTGGCTCTGGGACCCCCATCCCCTCCCCAGGACACTCACCTCCACCTCAGATCCTCCCCGTGCAACCTCACCTCCACCCCAGGATTCCCTCACCTGCACCCAGGAACACCTGCCACCTCCCCAGGACCCTCACCTGTACTCCAGGATCACCACCTGCACCTCAAGACACTCTCAGTAATCCCTGCTGTCTCCCCAGGACCCTCATCTCTACCCCAGGCCCCCAGGGACCCTCACCTGCACCCTAGGACTTCATGTGCACCCCTGAACCCTTCCCAGAGACCCCCATTACCTCCTCGGGACACTCACTCTGCCCTAGCTCCCCCCCATGCACCTTCACCTCCACCCAGGATCCCCCTAGGGATGCTCACCTGTACCCCATCACCCCAGGGACACCCACCGCCTCCTCCAGACCCACATCTGCACCTCAGGACATTTTCATCTCCCAAAGACTGTCACCACTACCCCAGCACCCCCCTCAGAGATCCCTTGTCACCTCCCCAGCACCATCACCTCCACCCCAGGGCCCCCCCAGGGATCCATGCCAACTCCCCAGGACCCTCAATCTCCACCCCAAGGCTCTCATCTCCTCCCCAGTGCCCCCATCCTCTCCCCAAAACCACCTCCCTCTCCCCAGCCCCTTGTCCCCACCCCAAGAGACCCCCACCCCTCATCCTGGACTGTCACTCCTTCCTCAGGACCCCTCCACCCCCCCAGGGCCAGGGGTGGGCTCAGGGTGGTCCCACCCCCCTCCCAGCACCCTGGGCAGGAGCAGGCCCCTAGGGGAGCCAGGAGGTGAGTTTTGATTAATTTTCAGGTGTTATAAATACCTGCCCCGATGGGGGAATCGTGAGTGTGGCGGCTAAAAATAACCTGTCTCACACCAGTGGCTCCCTGTCAGGAGCAGCCACTGGGGGGGACACGGGGGCAGCAGTGCCAGGGGCCAGCCCCACGGGCACCTGGGGCTGCGTGAGGGGACATGGGGACACCTCCAGGGCCTGGGCATTGCTGAGCCCCTCACCCAGGCACCTACCAGTACCTGAGATGGGTGACCAGCAGAGAGGGGTGGATGTCCTGAGATGGGTGCACCCCAGAAGAAGGGTGCAGCCCGCCAGAGAAGGGGTGCACCCCAAAGAAGATGGGTGCACCGTAGGAGATAGCCCCCAGGAAGCTGGATGCACTGCTATGAAGATGGGTGCACCCTGGTCAATAACCCCCAAGGATGGGTGCAGCCCCTGAAGGTGGTATATACCTGGGAGATGGGTACAGCCCCCCCAAGAGAAGTGCACCCCAGGAGCTGGGTACACCCTGGGAGTTAGGTGCACCCCCCCAAAGTTGGGTGCAGGTCTCAAAGATGGGTGCATTCCAGGACTTGAGGGCACCCCTGGGAGATGATGGCGGCACCCCTGAGAGATGTGTGCAGCCACATTGCAGGGTGTCCAGGACTCGGAAAGGATATTCTCCAGGAATTCTGTAGGGAAGACTGGCTGCCTGCTCACAGTGCCCACCCAGCACCCCTCGGCTCACCTGGAGAGGTGGACACGCTTCTCAGTGAACTGGCCGGGGCCGTGGACAGGGTCCTCGTGGGGCTCGTTCTTCACCACCTCCACACCCTCGCCCTTCTCGCTCTCCTGGTGGCTGTGCTTGCTGATGGTGTAGAGCTGCCCCACACGGTACTGCAACCACAGTGCCCGGCCTCAGTGACTGACCACCCAGCACAGCCACACTGCCCAGAGGGGAAACTGAGGCACAGAGCAAGGGGTGGCAGAGCCTGAGCCCTGCAGTGGACAGGGGGTTCCTGGGGCACCCTCTTTGACCCCCATGTCCCTGGGCTGCTTCAGCACCTGTGTCCTGCTCTCCCAGCTCAGCAAACTACCTGGGAGCCAGGGAAAACTGTATCTATATGATATATGTGGGTATGGATATCTCATCTATATAATGATATGTGTGTTTGGTGATGCAGCCGCGCGATAAGGGTTTGAGTGTTCCACTGAAGATCCCATCCATCACCCCAATGCCAGCGCGATCTTATCACCCCTCTCTGCCTAAATTAAAACCTTCCCCACATGCCAACAGCAAAACAGTGTCCAGGGAGGGCTGGTGCTGTCCAGGGTGGGCACTGCTGCAGCTCCCTGCCCCCAAAATGTCCCTGTCAGCTCCAGATGCTCACGAGAGACCTTTGGCCAGGGATGGTCCAGCTGTCCACACTGTTTGCTGATGGGATTCGGGCTCCCTGCTGAAGCAGGGATTGAGCTTGTGCTCCCTGTTGGAGCAGCTGCAGTGCCATGGGTACCCAAAACCCCAGTGCCCTTTGCCTGTTGACTCATCCCATGGTCCTGGGACTGCCCAGGTGCTGCTGTTGGGCTCTGTGCCCCCATGTCACCATGCCCAGGGATGGGATGTTCCCCCTGCCTGCACCCCAAATTACAGCTCAGCCCTCGCATGGAACACCCTGAGCCCAGCGTGACCAAAGCACACACCAGTCCCTGCCACGAGCTGTGCCACGAGGGGACAGCAAAGGGGGTCACTTTGTCCCTCTCAGGGCAGGAACCTGATCCCCTGGCGCTGCATTCCTGTGGGTGCAGGACCACCACCCACAGCCCCCTCCGTACTAACACCCACGAGACACCCCGGTTCCCGCCAGCCCCGGTCCCGGTGCCCCCCGCGTACCTCCTCGGTGGTGAGCGGCATGCAGATGCGGTACTCCTTGACGAGCATGGCGACACGGGCACGGCGGGCACGGCGGGCACGGCGGGGGTCAGGCGGAGGCGCCGGCGGGGGCACAGCTCATGCTGGAGGGACGCGGGGGACGCGGTGACCGGGAGCGCGGGGGACGCGCGGCTGCCTCCCACGCTCCCATCCCATCACCCCACGCTCGAAGCAGCCGCCCCGCTCCCGGTGACTTCACGAGCCGTTGCCATGGCAGTAGCGTGAGGTCACCCGTGCGAGGAGCAGCCTGGGTGTACCCGGCCGGGGACACCCCGGTACCCCAAAACCCTCCCGGCGTTAACCCTTGCCCTGCCTGGCGGACGCCAGTGCCTTGGAGCACACGTGTCCCCCCAAAATACGGTGCCATCCCTTCGGGGTGCCACGTCCCCACCCGACTGCGGTGGGCAGCGCAGCGAGAGGGTCGCAGGGACGCGGGGATGGGGTCAGACCTGCCCGATGCTCCTGGGGACCCCTCTCTGGGCACTCACAGTCTACCGTGCCCTGAAGAGCTGCTCCCGGAGAGCACTCATGGTCACCCTGGTGCCGGACATCCCTTCTCTGGGCAGGAGTTGAATCCCCTTCCCGAGGCTGTCCCTCAACACCCGTCCTGGCCAGCACCCGTCACAGCTAACACCCACCGCGGGACTGGGGATGCTCAGGGTGAGTAACGGGGCAGCCCAGGGGGTTCCTGGCCCTGGCCCCCAGTTCCACAGGACAGGGAGGGGATGTAAGTCACTCTGAAAGTCACCCTGAATGGGGTATCAGGCCTTGGAGGGGGCGGGGGTCTTGTCTGCGGGCAGCTTGTCCAGCTGGGGACACAGGGAGATCCCTGCGGGGACAGGGGCAGAGGGGGACACAAAGGTATCCTTGAGGGCACCGGGGAACACGGGAGTGTCCCTGGGGCTACAGAGGCATTTGGGGACACAGGGGCATCCCTAGGGGACACAGGGACACCTTGCTAACCGGTCAGAGGGTTGGTGGCAGATTGCGGGAAGCCGAAAGCCCCGTCGGGGGGTCCCGGTACCGGGGGCAGAGGCAGCCCCGGCATGAGGGAAGGGACACGCCGAGGACCCACCGGAGCACGGCGTCCCGCGACCCATCCCGGTACCGGGGCAGCTCAGACCGGCCCGAGGGGCTGGGGCCGCCCACGGTGGGGGGAAAAGTGAGAGCCCCCCAGGCCGGGCTCCGCCGCCCCTTCCCCACCGCTCCCCCCGGCCGCCTCCCCCGCGGGCCCGGGCCCCGCCGCCCCCCGCCGCCCGCACTCACCGGCCCGCGGCGGTGCCCGCTCCCCGCCGCCGCCGTGCCCCGGCCGTCCCGGGCCGTGCGCAGGAACGAGCC